GCAGGAATGTCAAACACTTCACATGCTCCAGAGTTAATGCTTGGTCAGAGTAACCCCAAGACCTCTGACTGTTGGCTTCACGAACAATGAAAAACCAAACCCAAGGTGTTCCTGCACCTTAGGAGACAACAAGACCAGGAGGAGCACAAATAAGAATTTCTGTATTATTGTTGTTAAGCTGTAAAGGGTTATTAGCCATCCAATTTTATATTGCTGAATAACTTGGTCATATTCTGGTGATGTGCAGCTGGATATCATCAGCGTAACAGTGAGAGGATAACCCTTTAAAATCCCATATTATGTGCCAAAGAGGAAGCATATACAGGGAAAATAGGATGAGACCTAAAGCAGAACCTTGTGGTACACCATACAACTGGGTGCAGATGACGAGGCAAGGTTACAACTACTGAAAAAGTCTTATCTGAAATGTAGGTACAGAACCACTGAAGCGCTGGCTCAGAGATACTCACCCACTGCCTAAAGCTACACTGAGATCCAACAGCACCACAACAGAGCATCACTTCTGCATCACTTCTGCATCATCATGCATTAGTAAATTGAAAAAACTTCTGAAAGTTCTGAACTGAACTGGACTGAACTGATGAAGCCTCTTGGACGAGAGGTGAAAGGTCTTTGACCTAGAAATCTAGTCCAGTTGTTTTTTCTAAGTTTTTTCAGTTTACTATGACCTGGATGACTGAGAATCTGCACAGACATGCATTAGTAATTCATTTGAGATTCTGAGGAGAGCAGTTTCCGTGCAATGCAGGTGGTGGAAACCAGATTGGAGTTCATCAAAGATGTTGCACACATTTAGATTATCAGCTAACTGGCTTGTGACATCCTTTCCTAAAACTTGTTTATGGCAGGGTCTATAGGCCTGTAGTTTTGGATCAGAGAAGGATCCAGGTTTTTCAGAAGAAGGTAAATGGTGGCATGTTTAAATTGAGCAGGCACATGACCAGATATCTGTGAGCTATTATTATTGTAACTACTGTGGGACTGATCACCTCTATGACATATTTAAACAAACAAAAAAAAAGGCAAAATATCACATTGACAAGAGGAAGGTTTCATACTGTTGACCAGCTTATGAAGGTATTTAAGTGAAATTGGAAAAAAATTCTCCAGAAATAAATGCTAAAAAAATGCAGGGTATAGGAAACAAGGGTGAGGGGGTGATACTGGGCTTACAGTTTTGATTGCATCCACAAAAAAAGAGAAAATGATTACAATCCTCATTGGACAAAACAGGCCCAGCTGGTGTAACAATACTAATAGTGTCAAACAGTAGTTTAGGGTTACTTTACTATTACTACATCACTGGTGTTATTAATTAGAATGTAATATGATTAAAATTTTTCTAGATTTTCCATTTATTTTAGAGCATTAATTATTCAGTAAAAATCCAGATTTATGAGACTGATCTGAAAGCATCCTGGTGATAGGCAGTTATATTGTGCATCTTACCTGAACATATCAGGGTTCTATCTTCATTATAGGACAAGTTATGGCAGAAAACATGCTAAATGGGGTTTTCAATGTTAACTTTAAATGGCCGTCAGATCCAGAATCTGGATCAGATCCAGATGAAATTTGGTCTGGTGATAGACATTGACAGGCCAAATATGTGTGCAAAACTTCAAACAGAAAATGATTTCAATAACTTCTGACAGAGATGTGAATTTTAAAAATGTGTCTGTAATGCTGCTAACCATCAAACAAACACACGGAATCAAAAGCATAACATCCTTGACGGAGTTAGAAAGTTGTTTTTCAATCAATTTCACAAAGTTATATGACTATAAAATTACTTTTAAAACAAATACATTTGTTTGGAGAGAAAATGAAGTAACTCCACTTTTCAAGTTTGAAACTCTAATCTCTAGCTCCATTACAAAGCACCTTTATAACAGAGTTTCTGCTACAGAAAGCATTGTGCCACCAGGGGTCTCAATAAGGGATTGAGACAAACAAAAGTAGTGTACCAGAATATTAACACGTGATTTGTCCGTACAGCCTTTTGTGCATCATGCACTGAGTGGAAAGTGTAGTCCAATAAAACAAAGTTTTGTGAAGTTCCCCTTACCTGAAAATGCGATCAGAAGGTTGTTCTCCCATTACAAGATCAAAACCACGCTGGAAGATGGTGTATGGCCATGGACTGGCATAAAACAAAAAGAACAGATCACAGGAAGAGACAAAACAGAGGAGAGAGAATAAAACTGTTTTAAAATCAAAGCCAGAGAAATGTTAAATATTTCAGTTTACCCATCCTCCTGATCAAAACCCTCTGGAATAATACCTCTTTCAGTATCTAACTCTGCAACATCCCCACCTTCCAGAGCCCCACAAATCTCAAGCAGAATTGTGATGTGTGCTGTTTGTAAACATGCTGATTGAAAAATGCTTTTTCCAATAGTTGACACGCAATGTGAGTTTGGCTCACTTTTTTTTATACCAGGGGAGGGGATAAGAGAGGATGACAGGATGAGACAGAATGGAAAAAAGAAGCACAGATAAGGAGGGAGAGACAGAGGGCAGGCAGCAGTAAAGGACAGGCAAAGAGTGAAAGAGAGAGAGAAAAGGGAACAGTGAAGAAACAAGACAGATGCCAAGTGACAGAAATGAGAGGGAATGATTGAGATTAATGGTGAGTGGCAGCGCAGGGACTAAACACTCTGCAAAGTGCGAGTGTAAGAAGGAGAAGTGACAGGGGCCCGATGTCGTTCTGAGCAAACTCCTACATTACTGTAAGCAAAAAGAACATTGTGGAAGAGGGGAGCGGCTTCCATGCCACAGGCTGTGGTCATTAAACATTTAAGCCACCCCAGGGTGACTCCTCTGTCACACAGTGACAGGGACATAAGAAGAGGACCAGGGAAATGAGATACATGGGTGCACAGTTGGATGGGTTGAGGGGGTAATTCAGATGTCTCAAAAATATAGACAAAAAACATTTTGTACAAATAAAAAGAAAATTTTACCTATTGTCTGCTTAAAGCCACAGACAGGAGATATTAAAGGCAAGAATGTAGCCTGAGCTTTCATATTCACTCGTACTGTGTGATGAAATTACTTTAAGTAGAAACCAGTGCCAGTTCACAGCCCATTTAAAACGGTCTGAATAGGGTGTTTCTTCTTATTCTATTTTTTATTCTACTTTAATTCTATTTAAGTTCCTAAATGGCATGGAACTCATTAGTAGGAGAGAGAGAAACAGTAGTTCAATTTGCTGTATGTCCTACACATATAGTGAAATGACAATAAAAATCTTTGAACCCTTTGAACCTTGTTTGTATCACGCATCCATAAGGATGCATATGGACAAATGCAAGCATGTCGATGACCCAAAACACATTGCTGAGAGTTTTTCCTTTAGTTCATCACCTGTCTGTGAAAACAATGCGGGATTTAAAATATGGAAATGTAGCAAAAGAGCAAAAATGCATCCATTTTAATAAAATGATAGAGTTCAAGAAGGTATCTTAAATCAATTATAAAATTTGGATTTTAATGCTAAATTGGTCAAATCATTTTTAAAGGAAGTCATAAAATAAATTTTAAGGCTTTTACATTTTACTGATGTCCTACAGAAAGAAAGATGTCTAGTGATGATCCACTTCTTGCTTGTTAGAGAAAGATGTATATGTTGGCAAAGTTAAGTTGGTTTTAATGTAAAAAGTCTGGACTAAATACAATAAGTGCATAAGTACTTTGCATTTGAGTGATTTTTGTGTACTTTTGCCTGATAGTAGTATATTTCAGTGCTAGGAACACAGACTATTCTTGTCATCTTAAGAATGAATTTGACAGTATTCCCAAGCTTTGGTTTAAAGTCTGTTAGTGCTTGATTTAGCCCCTTAGTATTTCCACTTGTTTATTTGTTCTGTATCAGTTATATTAAATTGACTATATACTGTACCTTAGTATGTGTCAGCATTTGGGTTCTCCCTAAGCCCAAATCTAACAACAAAACCAAATTAAGTAAATGCAACATTTCATTTCTGAGTGTAATAAAATAAGAGTAACCCATAATATTGTTATACAGATTAGAACACCAGAACAGTCCTGTAGGTCAACAGTGTTATGTGACTTGTAAGCACCTGAACACATGCACCCTGTGTGTTCACCCACTGGTTGACAGTAGTTTTATCCAAATGTCAAAGACTTCTTGACAACCAGTTGTGAACCCATTTCAGCATTTATCGACTTCCTAGGACTGGGTCCTGAGACAGCATTATTTAGAGGCATAAAGTTATCACTTAAATTTGTTATTGTAATATAAAATAAGTGACTGCTCCCCAAGACTAACATAATAAAGCCCCTACAACTTTACTGACTCACCACTGACCTAAAAGTGATTTGCTAAAATGTATATATATGAAACCATATTTGTGGTATAGGGGCACCCTATGAATTTTACACCTAAATATCCAGTTATTCTTTGTGGCATTTACTTCTTAGCCTATGAATCAAAGCTGTGGATCTGAAGGAGCTTTGTCAAATCAGCAAGAAAAACTACCATGGATGATATATCAGTGAGGGACTTATTTTTTCAGCAATAATGTTCAACTTTTTTCTTATTTTCCTCCCATTATAGCCCAACATTACAGATTCATCAGTTCATCTAGCTAACTAAATAGCACATAATACAAACTTTAAATCCAAATAAAATAAATAAACTAGTGGAATAAAAGTTTAAGACCCCCAACTTTCTGAAACCTATCAAAGCATAGCAATGCTGCAGTCAGTAAGAGCTGGTAACTAGTGTCACAGTGCTAACCTGTGCCTTCTACAGTACTAGGCACATATACTGTACATCCAAATTCATTCAGTCACCAAATGTTTGCTGTATGTGATCCGCCTTATGTTATCTCCTGGTTAAAGGTCCAGACTGTCAAGCAGGAAGTAAAAGATTCCAAGGCACTCATGTGGCATTCGCTTCATAACATTTCAACTGTAATTATATACAGCCAGGTTTCTCATGTCTCAGTTACACATGTGTGAGAGCTCTGTGAAAGTGCAAGGAGCAAGTGGACTATAAACAAAGCAGAGGTTTCATGGAGCTCTCAAACATGCACAGTTGGTTGTTGTGTACTTCAGATGCTGTCATTTGGGGCAACATTTTTAACAAATATGCAGGTGCGGTGGTTTGTAAAGAACAAACACATCACCCAGTGCAGTGGTGTGTTTCACTGATGTGTTTTTAATTGTTTTTGAACAACAACAGAGGCCCATGGCACAGATGAATAATCTAATCCAGGTTGGAGACCGGCAATCATTAACAGTGAGTAGAGGCAGTTCACTGTTGGTTTTAGTCTTTGTATGGGAAGTGTTGAAAATACTGTTAATATAGAAAATGACCAACCTTATTTTTTTAAACAAATTTGCTGAGCACATTGATATGACTATATTTTATGCATTCAATTAATTAGTTGCATATTAATCTGTGTACTTGAGGTGTTCCTGCAGTTTTGTCTAATTCTAATTATTAATTCGTATCAGCAGCATCAGTGTTGTGTTTGATTCATCTGTCCAAGCAAATGGCCTCTTAATGTGTAGGAGGATTCCTGATTTGTAAATAATACTTCCATCGTTTCTTCCTGGCTTGATAATGAGCACTTATAAACCCTGGTGTGGTAATTATCACAACTTACCCCTGATTGGGCCCCCACTCACTGCGAATGCAGAGGTGCTTGTGGACTGGGTCCTTCATGTAACCATCTAGGCAAAGGCATTCTCCTGCAAGCAAAATTGCAATAAATCAATCCTGTGTTCATTACAGTCAAGCATTTTTTAATTAGAGAATTATCTCTGCTCCAATCCTTTGTTTTACTCCATAAAACCTACCCCCATTATTATCCTCTTCCATCCTTAGAAGCACTCTTAATCATCTTTTACTTAAATTATGTAGTAGTTTGTTATTCAAGCCATGTTTTTGTCCAGATTTCTCAGCAAAAGCTCAGTTTTCCAGCAAGAATGCTTTTAATCAACTCTTACAGTATAATGCAGCTTCTCTAAAAATGACAACTAAGGGCCAGTGGCAACTAATGAAAGCAGAGGCACTCTCCATGCCAGTAAAGTTTAACGTTAACAGTCCTCATTTAAATGATAACGTTTCTGATCATAACACACAATTACCTCAAATGATGTGTTTGTTTGGTAAAGATGTTGAAATTTGTATTTGGTAACAGTGGAAACCAAAAATACAAGCACATTACATAACGTCTTTGCACGGCAACAATACAGTCAGCACAATTAAGTTCAGTTCACAATACAGGGTTCATGCTGTGATGTATTGACCCCAAATATATTTAGATTGAAAAAATTAACTACATGCAATTTGTTTTTGTTGCCATCAGGCATACAGAAGGCCTTTTCTGTAATGCTCTGTAATAAGCACCTGAACAGAGGTGGAGAGCAGTGAGGTATTTTCTCATATTTTGATGCAAAATGAAAATGTAGTGTCTTAAATTTATTAAATATTGGTTTATACCATGTAACAAAACTAAAGAATACAGGTATGTTCTCATGAAGATAAAGAACAAATTTATGAACTTTGTAAAACAAATTTTCTCCAAACACTATTTGCCCACAAATTTAAGATGTTAAAGCACATGTGGTGAATTCTGTGGTTTTGTTGCATTTTACAACATGGAGCAACATAACAGGAGAGACAGAGTGAATAGAAACAAAGTAAAAAAAAAAAAAAAAAATCACCAGAAATCCTCATGAGGCAATGTGACGACCTCTCATGTTAAAAATGTTTAAAGTACAAATTTGCATTTATCTTGATCTGTATTATTCACTTCCAAAAAATACAAAAACAAGGTGGATTGAGAAAGTTCAGTGAAGAAAGAGAAACTCAATTTTCTGTCAAGTTTGAAAATCATTCGGTCTGAGCTGTCACACATTTCGGAATCTTGTTTTATCACTGCCTGTTCCCAGAAGGTATACAGTGAGGAGAAAAAAAACTGTGACAAGCTTCACTTTGTAACTAAAAACGGATTTCTTCTAATCTCGGAGTGAGAATGAATAGCGACGCTTCTGAAAAGAGTGGCAGTTCTCCATTACTAACTGGTAAGGTAACTGGTATTTAAAGTGAAAACTGAGGATGCCATTCCACAGTGATTCACAAAAATCACTATGAATATGTGTGGTTGTTTCCTGTAACCCTAACCCTAATTTGCCTGATCTTTACAGTCCCTGAAATGCAGTGAAAATACAATAACAACTCTGATTTTCTAGTTTTTATCTTAGTTTCCAGGGATTACATGTACAGAAACAAATCTCTGGGCCAGTGACAGCTGCTCATTCATTGTCAATGGAAACTGAGTGCTGTCACTCAGTAAACCCTGCTGTGCGACAGCGACTGAAGGAGTCCAGCGAGGTGACAGCCCAGAACTAGGCAATGACCTACTTCATGGAAATGCACTTTGATAAAGTTCAGCAATGAATCGTTCAGAGTGAATCGGGATTATTTTGATCCCAGTCAGTGATGGCAGAAATTTTGAGCCAAGCTTAAAGTTGTTATAATTTGAATCCTAGGACTGGTAGGCTATTATGCTGCATTATTAAGTTTTGAAAATTTCCAGGTGACAAGGTAACCACTTAGATTGAGAATATGTGGTTAGTTTATCAAACAAATGCCAATTTAGAAATGTGTGCTGATGTTTTCAGAGATGTGAGTACCTGCTAGCAGATCAGGCTAGCTCTATTAGCAGGCAGCTCGTTCAGAGCACAGTGTCAGTGAAGCTGTAAATATGGATCCCGGAGAGAACCAGAGCAGAGCCCAAGAAACATAGGCCATAACAGTAGAGCCGGCCTCTGCTGAATGACCTCACAGGAAGAGCTGCAGAAGACTACTGAACAAACTGTCTCTTTGCAGTTAGAAGTCCCACAAGAACAGCAAGAAAGTTTATAAGAAATATGTGAAATGACTGCATTAGGAAAAAGTGATTTTACATTGAGAGAATCTAAGTAAAAAAGGTGGATAATGCCAAGTCACAGAAAAAGGGAAGTAACACATCCCTACTGTTAGGCATTTTTAGTCAGATAGATATTGGATAGATACTTTATGTATTAGAAATGTTTAGTGGAGATAGGATGTCTAGTTAGACTGGTAAATGCTTAGGCATGCTTATGAGTTTCTACAGGGTACATCTGGTCAAGGATAACTAGAGAGAAGAGTTGATGACTGTCAGCAGACAGGATGTTTAATATTATTATTATGACATGTAGAACTGTAGCCTTAGCCATAATATTTTCTTATGTTTAACGTCATGACATGTCACTAGAGGTTGTGTGAGAATGTTTTTAGCTACACACCACTTAATCAACAGACACACACACACATTGATTTGCTTCATGTTTTGACTACTGCTATGGCCAGCTGCAAAGCTGGCACTGGAGACGTCACGGTTTGGCATCCCTGAGTAGTATAGGACTAGCCCAAAGTGATATAATGTATAGGCCTGTTGTGGTTCGGGCCTTTTGGCATCTACCGGCTGCCTGCTTGCATGTCGGAGGTGCAAAGACTCCTGAGCGTGTAATGTTCATTTTACCTGTGATCACTGAATAAATCAGCACTGTTTTGAAGTTACTCGGACTGCTTCATTTTCCCAAACAGCTCCTTTGCACGATCCACTCTGTACACCTGGAAGCCCGATAATCAAATCGCGCTGTCCGCGATCGAGTCACTGAGCCAGGTGTTCGTGAAGCACAAAGCAGCAGAGTGTGCAAAGTCAGAGTTAGTCCTGTTGATGAGAAGAATTCCATCCATTTTGTTGACCAGGGAGTGGAGATTAGCCAGGTGAATAGATGGGCATGAGGTCTGCGTTCTCCTCTGTCGTAACCGCACCAAAGCGCCAGAGCGTTTTCCACCGCGGCGGGGTTTTTTCCAGTTCCCATATATTGCTGCTACGCCTCCGATCAGAATGTCCATACAGCATTCTTCGTTCACAAAAATCGGAGGAAGGTAGTTTGGTGTGAGTTGTTCGATATTTAACAGTTCTTCTCTGGTGAAAGTAATCCGGGATGAGTTGCACAAGACCAAGAAAACAAAGAAAAACAACAAACACAAGAGAGCACGAGTAACCTCAGTCGCCATCGCTGTCGGTGTCAGAAGAAGGCAAAGAAAACTCTGAATTACTGCCTAAAAGATGATTTACTCTGAAATGAAGATTTTCAACAGAAAAAAAAACAGACCAGAGTCAGCAGTCCACCTCCACCTGAAGGACAAAAGACATTCTTTTGAGGACAGTGAAGTCCAGATCTTCTCTAGAGAACATTTCTGGTTCGAGAGAGGAGTCAAGGAAGCTAATTCTGTAAAAATAGAACACCCCTCATTAAATAGGGGTGGTGGACTAAGACACAACTTGTCTTCCATCTACAACTCTGTTTTGAGATCCCTGCCCAAACATGCTCACCAGGACAATAGGCATCGGTCCACAGGTGAGGGTTCAAAGACAGGCAACGACACTCACCGATACTGGGCTATAACGACTCAGTCATTAGGGGACATTGTTGGGCATCAAAGGACTGAAACACCACCGATGGGGATAAATATCTCCGACTCAGTGCCAGTCAGTCAGAACTGATAAAGCCTCTTGGATGAGAGGTGAAATGTCTTTCACCTAAAAAACCTAGTCCAGTTGTTTTGTTTTTTTTACTTTTTTCAGCCTACTATGACCTGGATGACTGAGAATCTGCAAGGACAACAATTCAGTGCTGACAGTAGACCAACACTGAATTGCTAAAATGAATTTTAGACAGTTATATTAAAAAATATTTTATATTAAATATCCAGCTGCTTACTTATTACATAATGCACACTATCATTTGAATTCTGCATAAATGATATTATTGAGCATTTACCTGTATTTTTGGTTTATGACTGCCAGTATAGAAAAGAAAGGCCAAAAACAAATCTTTTTTGTTGGAGGGTGATGAACGAACATGCTGTAAGGAGGCTAAAAGAGGACTTTATAGGGCAAGACTGGGAAGCAGTTTACAAAGAGGAAGACTTAGACAAAGCATATGAGCAATTTTTAAATATATTCATGAAAGTATATGACAGGAACTGTCCTCGTAAGCAGTATAAAAACAAGAGGAATTACAGTGGGAAACCGTGGATGAGTAAGGGATTACAGAATGCATGTAAAAAGAAGAATGCGTTATATAAGGAATTCATAAAAGACAGATCCAAGAAGGCGGAAGAAAAATATAAGTCATACAAGAACAAATTAATTGCGTTATTGAGGATATGTAAGAAACAATGTTACTCTAAAGTATTAGAGGATAATAAAAATAACATGAAAGGTACTTGGAATATATTAAATAAATTGATTAGAAACAGTACCAGCAGGAGTAACTACCCTCAATATTTTATGAACAATGATACACCGGTCAACAGATTTGAGGATGTAGTTGAGAAGTTTAATAGGTTTTTTGTGAATGTTGGTCCTAGTTTAGCAAGAAGCATTTGTACAGATGATACATCCAGCACTATAAATAATAATACAATCGAAAGGAACATGAGTTCTATGTTTCTGAAGCCCATAGTTGAAAAGGAAATTATAGAGATAGTGAACAAATGTGGTAATAAATCATCCAGTGATAGTGGTATCACTATTACAACTGTTAAATGGGCAATTGAGGGGATATGCAAACCATTAACCCATATTTTTAACATGTCGTTTCGACTTGG